ACCACAAAGATAGGATGAGCTTGAAACAATGGGAGTAGACGCAGGTATCGTACGCACATGAAGAGTTTAAATATTTTGTGTAATGAATACCATGGTTATACAGTCAAGGTCATCTTCTAGGTCTAGGCTATTAACCGCAAAGATTTCTGTCCCTTTCTAATTTTTACTGCTGCTCTTCAGATGTGTTTTTTTTTTGTTGTTGTTTTTCCATAATTCAATATCAACTTTATTACCAACAGAGATGTGTTTTTTATCTTTTCGTCTTGAACCCTGGGGGAGCGGGGGTAGGGTTTGACTGCGTTTGTCTACAAACCCTCTGAATCAACAAAGAGCTCTCAGGGCTGCCTGCAGAAATGGGCAGATGGATGGAAAAACTAAGAAAATGATCTGAATTCTGGAGCATGAGAGCAATGTTTGAAAAGATGGGTGGCAGGATGGGTGTGGGAACGTGGAAGTATAAAGCAGGAAAGAAAATGTGGAAAAATAAAGAGGCAAAAATACAATCATCTCAGCAATGCAAATGTTATTTTGAAGGGCAGAACTCTCTGGCAGCTGTAGAAAACTGGTCACTCCATGACCATATTGGGTCTTTCGGGGTACGTGGCACCGTAAGCTCTCTACTGATCTTCACTTTAGTATCACCATAGCTTATATTTTAAAATGATGAAAAAAAAAACAGCTTACATACCACCCAGATTCTACATGGCTTCACTTGGAGTTCTGCTGTATCCCCACAGACACTAATTAATAGGTTTTGAAATTTTTTCTAGCATTTCTCCAAACGAGGAGATCTGGTATCTGAAGAATCTCAGATAGAGAGAGACTGGACTGGATTCATTATATCAGCTCTGTTGCATGGGAGGGAGGATTGCTTGTGAAATCTGCCCTCATAAAAAAAGCTTCACAGGTATGAGATACATGGAGACATGTCTGACTCACGGATGCCTGTCACACACTAAGAAATGGAATTACTTCTTTTTTTTTTTAACTTATTACAATACAAAAGGTTAAAAAGTTTCTGCCATAGTTAAGGCTTCCTCAAAAAAAATTTAATAGTCTATTAATTTCAGAATGCACAAGGTACCTAAAGAAAGCCTCTGTTTGGGGTAGTATTTTTTGAATGCATTTCCTTTTCAAATGCTAAAAATGTCCAACCAAAGCTCAGTATCACTTTGACAATTATTTTCATTCCTCTGCCATTGATTTGACATCAGACAAAGTTAGTCTTCAAAGAAATCTGACACGTTAAACGCCATCTTAATGTCAGTTCTGAGTGTTCCCTGAATGACTGAAGTCTGTAGTTTTATTCAAGATCGTTAGTTAGGCCAACAGAAAACACAGTCAGAAGACTGTTAATCGCAGATATCATACAAATGGGATCTGGACATACCGGAGAAACGTGCTTACAAATACACCCCATTTCCTTTTTGAAAGGCCATTGATAGGAGTCTAGTTAGTGTGCATGTTTAAAACAGGTAGGTGAGCAATGTCCAATAACCCTTTGTGCAACTGGAAGATACATTGAAAAAGAGAAAAACCTAGCAACTTACTAAACTCTAAGGCTGTCCTCCAGCTTAAATCGAAGATTTTATTTTTTTGTATAATGGCTATAACAATAGAATATTAATCTAGATTACTTCAGTTGTCATATTCAGGCATCTCTCTGTATATTTCAACACTCTGCTATTTTGAAAGCAAAGGGAAATTAGTCTAGCCACTAACACCGAGCTCAAAGGAGCACAAGGATGCTATTTCATGAAAACATCCTAATATTGTTTATTCTACTTATGTTGCTTGAAAAGCTATAAATTCCACACTCTAAGAAGGAAATTGTAAATAAAAATCCTGGTTGTACTGCTATTATTTTGCATAGGATTAAAACTCTGGGCTTCATGCTGTAATTTATTAACAAAGTGGCAGAATCTTTGAGCAGAGCACATGATGCCTAATACTCATTTCTGTGGTTGTGATATGAACAGAGAGAGGAACAGTCTCCTTTTTGCAAGACCCAAGATGAAAAGCGGAGAAAGATGAGTTGGGCCAAAGGTAACTGCTGGAGCTAATTATACTTTCAGACTAGCAATCTGGAGAAAAGGGAAGGAGGAAGTGCTCAGTCCAGAGCACTTAATTTATGCCTGAGGCAAGTATCCAGTTGGCCAAAGCCTGGTAAACTGGAACCATTAGGTCGAGAAGCCCTTTGATTTTAGAATGCGCATAAAGCTGGTGGAGATGTCCAGATTCTTTCTTCCACACAGTTTGGGAAACAGAGGGGCCATTTCAGGGGAGGCTATATTGGCTCTCTCTTAACTTGTTAGCTCTATATAGTGCATATGGAAGAAATTAAATGGATTTTAGCCTATTTTACTGCCATGCTCTTATATTCCAAAGGTTCTTCACACTGCTACAGATGAAAATTCCTAATGTAATCAACTTTTGCTAACTTTTAAGTGCAATCATGATGACTTTGGGTCAAAAATTAAAAAAATGTATTTGGCTCCTCTGATGTGTCAATTAACCCAATCTCTTTAGCAGATGAATAACATACGTATATTCTTCTATGAACTATTATATACTTGAATCACGACAAGAAAAGGACCACTGCAAATGTATTCCTTATACAGTACCTTTACTTGGCACACAGAACATCAAATGCATAATAACTGGCAGTTTGAATACTGAACCACAGTTATAACTTCTCAAGTGTAAGGCCCAAGTTTAAAACTGGCACATCCATTAATCTAGTTAGTACAATGGAAACGATGTACAACCACAATTGAGTAGTGGCTTATCTTTTTATTGATGCTAAAAAGCTTTCAATATCTACCCCACATTAACTCTTTTACTTAACTAAAAATCACAACTGTGTTTACCATTTTAAACTATATCTTAGTGGGGAGGCAGGTAATACTTTCACAGCTACTGAAACTATGCAGATGGCAAGTCCTTCAATCTTCTGTTACACACAACAAAAAAGGAGGGGAAAAAAATCCTCTTAATGAATATCAAACTTTGGGGTTTCATGTGGAATTCATGAGCTCTTAAACAAGTAGCCAAGACACAAACCCAGTTTGGGTCACTAAAAACTTCAACAGAAGCAACAACTGAGGCCAATTCTTGATTTCATGTGAGGACCCACGCAAGATCTAGCTACAAAACGCAAGCTAGTTCTGGAGGCCTAGTTCTAGCATTGGACTCAAGCCAAAAAAGAAAGCAACTGTATATTTTAAGAGCCTATTTTCAGAGTTTTTGCATGTAACCATTTTATTTTTCTTGAGGAGATTAAATGCGGTCACAGCTTAATCAGCCTGCATCAAAAAACCCAATTAGTTTCCGGCTTTAAGTTGAAATGGGAAGTTTGTGTCACACAGTTTTCCCTATTTTTCCACCATGTTCAAGTTACTTTTGCTTCAAAGCTGAGCAGATGAAGAGCACGTCAAAGCAAATAAGTTCACGCACTCGATTCAATATCCAGTTAAGGTGAAGAGGGCAAGCTAAGAACTAAAGTGGATAATTTTTTACAAGTGTCAATGTGCACTTGGCAAATGTAGATTAAAATAAGCAAAATAAAGTAGCAATTTTACAAAGAAAACAGTATGATATTTCTCCATCACATTCATTAAAAAAAAAAAAAAAAATGAAAGGGCTTTGGTTTCAATTTTTGTTCTCCTTGTCTAAATATATTAAGTTTGACAAAATGGTTTAAAATTTTAGTGTAAGGACTTACAAAAACTATTTGAAGCACTTCACTCAAACCCCAAATCTGCAGGTAAGAAAATAAAAAAGTTCTTGCAATTGTGTATATCTACCCACTAAATGATTTAATTCCTAGTTTTTGAAATGATAAAGTAATATTCTGTGACTCTAATGGAATACAATCATTCCACTGAATTGGAAATAAGGCAGCTCATTTTGGGGGCAGCAATTCCAGTGGTCTCGATTAAGCAGAGAGCAGCACTTATTATCTGCTGGATTCCCTTGCTCCTTTTCCGCTGCTATGTCACAGAACCACCATGTTCCTCGGTCCTTAGCGCTGCGTCTCCTCTACAGCCCTTGCCGGTCACTTCAAACCTGAGCTTCAGCAGCAGCACTGAAAAGCTTCCCGGCTGTGCCTCCCTCGCCCCAGGACGGTCCTGAACCTCTCTGCCTGGCGCTGGAAAGAGCAAGTGGCCTTCACCATTTGACTTCTCTGACCTTAGGAGCTCCTGAATCAGGTTGGCGCTGGTGTCCTTCCCTTTAGGATGGGCCAATTAATAAAAGGAAATGAAAACTTGATTTTTTTCCTTTCCATCTCAATTTATGTTTACAAAAAGTACACATATAAAATAAAGCAAATCAAAGTAAAGGAAAAAAAGGAAACGAAATCTTGCTTAGTCAGAAGCTTGGGTTGCATTGCTAATGATTTTAGTCAGTGTGACTTTGTGCAAAATATCCTCAAGAAGGCTCTGGCTCATTTTCAAAGTCACCAAAAAACAAAATAAAACCCAAAAAACAAACAAACAAACAAAAAAAAACAAATACAAAACGAAAAACAAAACCTAATGATGTGTACTTGGAGAAAAATAAAAAATGTGCCTGTCATATGCATATAATTGTTATATATGTGCCATATATAACAAATGAAACAAGTGTAGTGTGTGAATTTTGAACATTTGGAACAGTACTGGTTATGTTTTCTTTTTTTTTCCATTTCTAAGTCTAGATGAAAGCAATATTGTTCTAGAAATGGATAACTGCAGTGAAAATGAGCCTGAGATACGTTAGAAGGCCGCCCCTGTAAACATTTCCTCAAAGGGAACAGTAGCAGTTGAGTACGTATCAGTTACTCATACTGTATCATCACTATAGCAATGCTTTATAAAAGACAAACAGCTTATTTCTAGGCTGTCTCGGATTTAGCGAATATTGGTTTTTTGTTGGAAGCAATCAATTGTAATCCAGTCCCAGGTTTAAATCTGATCCGGCCTTGACCAGTGGGCATTCACTAGGTCTTCTGCTCTGCTGCTGTTGCAGTCTGTGAAGGAGCTTCTGGCTTCATGATCTGGTATGTGATAAGATACTCTGGGTATGCCTGTAAAGGACAGGAAGAAAAACAAATCACCCTTCTGGTAGGTACCACATTAAAGCTTTAATTAATGTCGATGCCTCCAAGGCTGTTAATTT